AATGTTAGTGTTTTCTCAAAAAATAAATGTTTACAGACAAAAAGTTCAGTTCAGCAGGTGATCTACTAATAAAGTCTATGCAAATGAACACAAGCGCAACTTGGTAATTAACAAATGACACAATATGTATTTGGGTTATGTGCTTTTAGTGTGAAAACCCGTTTCATCCAATTAGGACAAAAATATTTTTTATCCTTTCCTGAATCTGTTTACATTGTAACATTAGGTCAAAATAATGACTTTTTTCCTCAAAATGTTGACTTAATAAGAAGTGAAAAAATTACTTATTGCTCATCGAGAATGAATGTGATTATTTCAACAAAATGCATATTAATTTTTTAGAAAATATGACTTCATTTTATAAGGTCAGACATTTGAGACAATATGTAATTATTTTTCACATTCTGTATTGAAACATTCATTTCAAATGGGTGGGATGAACTGAACTGGAGTTCTGTGTTGAGTGCAAGTTGTTGCAAACCATGGGATATTATAAATATTCTAGATTACAGTGTGAATGTAAGCTCTTTGCTCTGTGCATATTATCAAAGGATTGTGATTTTTCCCACAGTGCTCAGAAGCCTCAGCACACATAATTTAATGGAGAAACAAGTAGCTTTAGTAAAGCAGTTATTACACAGCCAGAACAGTTTCAATATGTGCTTTTAACAGTAGTATGAAACAGAAAACTTTCAAAACATTATTTAGCCAAAGGATGACCTTAAGACACATTGCTGAGTGTAAAACATACCAAAAGTTTTATCACTTTTCTAAAAACTATTTGGTTTTTGCAATATCAGATGAATATAATGTCAGCACAGAACTCAAGTTCAGTTTATCCCACCAGCCAAAAATGAACATATGTTTCAAAGCAGAAAATAAAATAATTTCCATCATCAAAATTAGAAATAATATGACCTGGCATGCATTTACAGGTGTTTTTTCACTGAAAATAAATAAACTTATTTGAAAAACTCTTTCTGTTTGACCTCAAACAATGGCAGCCATGTTAGTTGATTAAGTGCTTCATTATAATATAATAATGCATTATAATCTTCATGCATTGCACTTTGAGAGGAAGCTCCTGTAAATGCATATGCAATGAGGCAAAAGAGCAGCAACCACCCCTGTGATGTTATTATAGGTGCAAAAGGGCTGTAGCGCCTAGTTAGTAAATCCCAATAGCCAATATTTAACACCAAAAAAGGGTTTGTGATGATGCAAAATGTTAGTAAACCTGCCCCTGTATATTTAAGCATGTATTAACATCTTGATATTCTAATTATTATATATTTTTATACCTGACAGTAATATTTTATAAAATTACATTTCAATATTTTTGTGATTCTGTTTGAACTTTAGATAAAAACAAATGTATTAAATTCAGCATCAGGGTGGTGCTCTATATGTAGAAATATAGGGTGCTGCTTTCCTCTGCTTAGACACTATGTGAAAATGAAATGAAATTGGTGCCGGTTTATGGGATTGGATTTCGATGTTGGTCTGTAACCCTGCTCTCCAGGCTGGCGTTGTTGCCTAGCACAGGATCAATCCATTCTCTTCAGTGATTATGCAACATTTTTGACATTCCATTCTCACTGCTCAGCCATTTGCTGCACCACTTAGCCTGACACTGACAGATGTGAAAATTGTATCTCCTATCAGAGTAAACAACAGCAATTGAACATCTCCGTTATAGAGTGGAGGGGAAATATTTGTTTCAAATTAGTTAATGCATAATTCACCCAATGTCTGCAAACTGCTGAAACCTCCGGCTGTGAACAGTGGTTCCACCATGATTCTCAGTACAGCAACTGAACCTTTGCTTGTGTAATGCAATATTAATACATAAATATAATGATAACAATTTATATGAATGATAACAAAAAGCGATTATTTTCTAAGGAAGGGAATGGGATTCTACTTCATAATTAATAAGTCAAGTACTAACTAGGAATTTAATCATTATAAGGTTATAAAGTAACATATGAATTAGCATCATAAAGTAACATATGATAATATATGTCTAATTTGACATGTATACACACATCCATGCTACTGCTTTATAATGAATTAATGATGAATCGATCAAAATTCAGATCCACTATTAGTAAATATAGTATATGGGTATTTACAAAATACATCTAAAAATGATTCATCCTGGCTGATGGTTAAATGTGGCAATAAAAAGACTACTAAAAAATATAGGCCTCTAAATGATGTGGTAAACATAATTAGGACTATAATAGGACATATATGTCCATAAACATCATCAATTAACAGTTCTATAGATACATATACATTATTCCAAAAACAACATAAAAAACAGCCCTATTAAATAGTATATGACTCTATAAACAACATAAATAAATAGTCCATTACACTAGAATAGGATATATTAGTCTATGATCAACATCAATAAACAGTTTTATGTATTTGAATCAGAGATATTAGTGTATAAACAATATCAACACAAGCTCCTTAACACTACACTAGGAGATATTAGTCCATAAACATCAATGAACATTCCTATACACTAGAAGAGGAGATTTTAGTCCATAAACATCAACAACCATTCCTATACACTAGAATAGGAGATTAGTCCATAAATAACACTAAGAAACAGTTCTGTACAGTTGAATCACATGTTTGTCTATAAACAACATCAATAAAAAGTCCTTTATGCCAGAAAAGGATATATTAGTCCATTAACAGCATCAATAAACATTCCTGTACTCTAACATAGGAAATGTTCTTCAATAAAAACACCAATAAACACACTAGAATCACAGATATTAGTCTATAAACAACATTAACAAAAAGTCCTAAATACTAGAATAGGAGATATTAGTCCATAAACATCAACAAAAATTTCTATACACTAGAATAGGAGACATTAGTCCATAAATAACACTAAGAAACAGTTATATGCCGTTGAATCAGATATGTTAGTCTATAAAGATCAATAAACATTCCTATACACTAGAATAGGAGATATCAGTCCATTGATAACACTAATGAACAGTTCTATGCAGTTTAATCAGATATGTTCATCTATAAACATCATTAAAAAGTCCTATATACTAGAATAGGAGACACTAGTCCATAAACAACATCAACAAACATTCCTATACACTAGAATAGGAAATATTAGTCCATAAAAACACCAATACAAAGTCCTATACACTAAAAGCGGAGATATTAGCCTATAAACAACATTATTACAAAGTCCTATACACTAGATTAAGAGATATTAGTCCATAAACAGCACTAATAAATATTCCTGTACACAAGATTAGGAGCTATTAGTCCAAAAATCAATACAGATTACAATAAACAGTCCTATACACTAAAATCAGAGATATTAGTCTATAGACGTCAAAAAACAGTCCTGTACACTAAAATCAGAGATATTAGTTTATAGACAACATCAATAAACAGTCCTGTATGCAAAAGTAGGAAACACTGATTACAAGGCGGGGTTACCTGGGAGGAGACTGGAGAGGGTGGAGCCAGGAAGACACTGTAGATTAGCAGCTGCAAAAATGTTATAGATAATGTACATTTAACTTAATAAGTCATTTGTAAAACATGATTAAGTATGTGTCTTACAAAGTAATATATTAGTATGTTAATTAATGATGAATAATTGTAAATATTAGTTAAACCCTATTAGTTTAGCTAATAGATGCCTATAAACTATCATTATTAAACTATCATTAGTGTTACCACAAAAATATATTCACCTTTCCTAAAGTGAGTGTGGAGAAATTTGGTTAGAGATGTTGATCTTGAACTGTAAAGTTATACACTCTGCTTTAAGAGTGGTTCATAATGGAGTGGCAGGATGCTCTAATCATATACATTTATGCAAAGATATTCATGTTCAGAGCCTTGAGTATTCACATGCTGAGACATGGAGACATTTATTTCGGATAACTGTTGCTATCATTAGATGCCTTTCTGTGCACCAGCTGTCCAAGAATTCTTATTTTAAATTTTAAAATGATGTGCAGATCTAAGGCATGTCAACACCTGTAACCTTCTGTACCTTCATCAAAAACACTCTTTGAGGTCAGTGGACAGAAAAGGAAGGTTCAAAGCAATCTCCTGTTTCTTTCACTGCATAGCTGATTATTAAGCCATCATAAGTGAAGAATGATACAAAATTCAGCAGGGTGGCTGAAATTAGTTCAGTGACATTCAGAAATAATAGATTCAGGAGCATCACAGAAAGAAGGAGGTAAATATGTTAGTATACTAATGAAGAATTGCTGTATTAAGCAGTATACTAATGAGCTTTTCCATGGACTATATAAAGCATCATTTACCCCTTATAGCATGCAGGTACGGAAGAATTTGAAGCGGATTCTGTCTCACGTTTTCAGTCTCTTTGAGTCAGCTAGTGTTGCTAATATTTAAAGCAGGCCTTCTTTCCACAAAGCTCTGAGAGAATATTTAACAGCATGTTTGAACATATCTCTGGAGTGAAGAGGTATGTATAGCTTTGATATCAATATGTTGGTTTGGAATAACACAGAAGTCTCAGCAATGGTGTCACAAATATTTTTAAAGGAACTGTGATTTTTCTCCACCATACGCCAAAGGAAAACATTTTGATCCTTACAGCTGTACAAATAATAGCTGCTGTTGACCTGTATGGAAGTAGCTGGGCTCAAGTATGTTATCTCTGAATGGACTGCCTCGCTCCCTGCAGTCTTTAGGAGACCACATACAGCTCCACAAGAGCAGCCTCAGTGGGATGTGTGATTCTTTCCATGATGCCATATTGCAGCCTGTCAGAAGTACACAGCAAAATCCCTGCAGCTGAATTAACTCGTATAGGGTTCATTTACGTCCATCTGGACCTAAAAGAACACTGTAGGTGTTAATTCCACGTTATAGGTGTTAATTCAACACCGCTGAGTACTTTTGCTGTGAACGCTCAGCAGGATTTGTGGGAATTGTGCTTTTAAGACTGTCTGTCCACTCCTCCACAGATCCCCCAGGTGAGCTACGCTTCAACAGCACCAGAGTTGAGTGACAACACACGGTATGATTTCTTCTCTCGAGTGGTTCCTCCAGACACCTACCAGGCCCAGGCCATGGTGGACATCGTACGCTTTATGGGCTGGAACTACGTCTCCACTGTAGCCTCTGAGGGAAATTATGGGGAAAGTGGTGTTGACGCCTTCATCCAGAAATCCCGTGAGGATGGTGAGAAACTGGAATGCTTTCACATTATCTTTCCCCTTAGTTACATTGAACATGTGCCATAAAATGAATTGAGTGCTGGTAAAGAAGATTTCTACAGATCTTTCATGCGTAATTAAACGGTTACAATGTAAACGAAGTCATTTAAAGTGGTTTGATGTAAAACGCTAATTTCTTGAGGAACTGCTTGTCAGAACTGTTCACAGTAGTGGTGATAGGAACCAGACGTCTGAAGAGTTTAATGCCTCTACAGGCCCCCTCACAGGAAATTACTGCATGAAATGAAATGGTTATGAATGGCATTGCCATTGTGTTATGATAGTTTCGAGATTAAACATTTATTATTAAAGGGCATTCATTTTTACATATAAAAACTCACCGGTCATTTTGGGTAGCAAATAAAATGCCTAAATTTGTGTAGTACACAAATCACAAATTGTCTGTAGATTGCACCTAAATGACTTTGTTTACATCTCAGCATTTGAATTATGCAGGAATTTTTGAAAAAAATGTTCCCCTTTATGTCTTAAACCATTGACAGAAAGGGTTTTATATAGTGCCAAAATAAGATTATGTGTAACAATAGTGGAGCCATTTTGGCGCTTCATAGAACCATTTTTCAAAAGGTTCTTTAAATAACCATATACGTTATGTTCTCAATCATCAACTATTTCAGCAATCAGATGTTTCTTCGTTTTGTCATTGTTCTATATATCTTAAAGAACCCTTGAACCCTTTAACCCCTTGCATGGCCAGGGCCCGCCGACAGGCCCAAAGTTTTTTGAAGTCCTTGTAGTTACTGGATAATAAGGCTTAGTATGTAAAGAACCCGATTTAGAACATTTGGTTGAAAGATATGAATTTGAAAGTTCTCCAGGTCCATATAATCGCTGTCAGAACAAAAGTTCATGTCTCCAAATTGGTAACTTTACAAAAGAAGGAAAAACCTTCCTAACCTTAAATGGAAGAATGTAAAAAGACTTGAAGTGATTTGGAAATGTTTCTGTTGGTCCATTAATTAGGACATCCATGCAATGCAAAATGCAGCTTGTATTTTCAAGTAACAATAATAAAAAACAACAAAAATGGAGATACAAGGTTTTGTCTGGACAGCAATAATATATTTCAAATATTGCTCATACTGCTGCCTTTGAAGGTACCATGTCCTTTAACCTCAAATTACATTTACATTTACATTTACAGCATTTAGCAGACACTCTTATCCAGAGCGACTTACAAAAAGTGCTTTGTCTATCCAGAGAAAGTATCTTTGCTAGTTACCAATAGGTTAGAGAGAGAGAAAGACAGTCCTGAGCTCAGATACTAGAATCAGAAAGTCATTATTGACACCTAGAGAAAAAGGCCTGAAACTAGTAATTACAATTAAGCACTGGGTTCTACAAGACAGCCTTGTAACTAACAGAGTCTAACTAAGCTAGAGAAAGTCTCAACTCAGAGCCTACCTTAACCAGGAGAAAGACAATATTCAATTAGAAGACAAGCACACGTGTCTTACTTTGCTTTTATAAATTGAGAGATGTGGTCAGTAACAATTGATTACAGCAATTTAAGACAAATGTTTGCTCTTCAGATTTTCTCTAAATCTGGGTTTTATGGAAAGGACTTGTTTTATTTTATATTTTTTTTTTACCAGTTATATGTTTTTAGCCTTTATTGAGATGAAATAAATCCTGTTGAGCGAACAGTGATGGGAGAAAATGCTCTTTTGAAGAGGAATGTTCTTTAAAAATGTGTGAGGAATACTGAACACAGTAGTGGATTTAGTTGTGTGCTGTTCCTGCCTAAGGCCATCTCTCGCTGTCAACAAAACTTCAGACTAAGTGTGACTGACAAGCTGAAGCCTATTTGTTGCCACTAGGCAAAGGAAATGTAGGTTTGGGCTCCCTCTGAATAGTCTGGTAACAAGAGAAAGCAATTGAAATGCCAAGCCTGCGCAAGTGAAACAGTACCCCATCATTAGCTTTTCATTCAGGCTTTTTGAAAATGCAACAATAATATTGTGCTCCAAATGTGTTTCTAATGTCTAAAAATGAATTACAGTGTAATGTGTCAGATCTTTAGTAAAGCGCATAATAAGCTTTTGTGATAATATAAATTAGGTTGAACAGCTATTAATCTTACATTTTGTTCAGAATGTACAGATTATCATAAGTTAAGTCAGTCAGCAGCTAAATATGTTTACACTTCCACCACCTGTGAGTCATACTAAGAAGTCTGTACATGCATGTAAACGCTTACTTTCAAAGAGTCTTTTCAAAAAAGAGATTTTTCAAAATTTCAGCATAATTCAATGATATGGAGGTAAATAAAGTAATTTGATCACTTTGCTGACTCATATTTCTTTGCAGTGGTGGTGATAGGAACGAGGAGTCACACAGGATTCATTTGCTATCCAAAACAACCAGTAAACCCACATTGTAATATAATGATGAAAATGTTTAAATAGGGCAAATCTGAAAAAAATAAATTGGTTACTGTTTTGTCTTACAGTGCTCTTCCATGTATCTATATACTATGAATGAATATGAAAAAATATGTTTTAAGGCAAAACCTTCCCAAAACTATTGTAAAACAATGTCCCAGGTATCAGGCATTGTATTCATAATCATTTAGTATAATAACTTTCTGTAAGGAAACTTCTAAAAGACATTTAATGATTCAGATGCAGTGGCGATTTTGGGACTGTATAAATGGGGTGTCCAGGGCAGTTTTAGAGGTTACTGTAATTTGAGTAATTATCAAGGAGATTTTTATCCAGTATTGTAGTTTCCAGAATTCTTCAAACTCAGACCTCCTTCAGTAATAGTAGTTCTGTTAGATTCGACATCACAGTAAAGTAATAACAAAACCAGGTGGGGAAAAAATAAAAAAGCAGCCTCCACATTTTTTTTTTCTTTTCTTTTTTTTTTTGCTACAACCTAAAGACAAGGCTAAAAGCTAAAATGAACCTTGATTTGACCCAATTCCTTAGTCCTAACGATAATGACAAGACTACTGATGTTCATAAGATTTGTGATGGACAAATTACAAGGAGAAAGAAAATAAAATATCATTAAGGCATTGCAAGATCAAGCTTGTTGAGCGGTGTTATAGTTTGCAAGTGTGACGCCTGCTGCATAACACTGATATGAGCATTCATGCAATGACATTTCAATCCGGGCTATTTGGAGTAGTTTGAGGAAATTGCACAGATCCTTTATCCCGTACAAATCAGCCAATCAATTCACGCCCAGATTATGTTACGGAACCTCCTCTGGTAAAATGAATTCAGCTTGAAGAGGGCTTATTACATCTTTCAACAACACTCAAGGCATGATTAAAACACACCCCTTTACACACAGCGCATGGTCTATAATGAAGGTGTAGTTATTCGCCAGCTTCTTTTCTGTTCCGACTTAAATGCACTCTCACACAAATATATTTTTCACACACAGTATGCACAGGTATAGAGTCACCGGTTCTCAATAATTAGTTCTAAAGAGCATTATATTGTTTGACAAATTCCTCTATATTGACAGAGCAGCTAACAACAAAAATGTTATATAGTGGTATTGTGGCAAAGACTGTGTTTTTATTGGATGGCTACTAGTAGAGAGAAGAAAATAGTTGGGAGAAAAATTACTGGGAGAAATACAAAATACTCACTCTCATTTATTTAGCAACATTCACATTCCTGGAACATTCCTGGAAATGAAGGCATATGAAAGAGACTGTGCTAGCTATCTACCATTACAACTGAAAAAAAGAAACAGTAGTGTCACTTTTAAAACATGCTATCAAAAACTACTAAAAGTACAAAAAGTTTTTCCGTACTGAACTAAATTCAGTTAATCAGCCCTAATTTCTTCAGTACTGCTACCCTCCACTCCCGCAGGATTTCGTCTCATTCCCGCAAAAAATCAAACGTTTAACCTGCTCCCACCAGCAACTGAAATGTTGTCCTGCTCCTGCCCGCGCAATTCCATCAAGGTGAACTTACATTTAATATCTGACATAATCTATTCACAAATACATTATTGTCTGCTGAAGAACATGGGAGGCATGGTCATCATGCTTACTGTGAAGTAACTTCACCATACGGCATTTATTCCCAGTAACGCAAAGCAGGAATTAAACCACAGAATGGTTATTTTTGGTGTTTTGCTGGGCTCGGCAGCTATGGCCTTCAGACAGTTCTAAACCCCAGTAAAACACATGAACAACAATCTTTTACCGAAAAGATCCTACCTGACTGCAAAAAAGAATAAGAAACCCTCGTAATAGTTCTACCCAACCAAAATAGTTCTCAAAATAGTTCTACCCAACACTGCTTCTGGAAGAGTGCTCCTCCAGGCCCTGTTTTTATCCCTGTTTAGCATACTCAGATATACAGATGCTCCTGAAGGCTTTGATTTGCTGGTTCAGGTGAGCTACAATTTAGCCTAAATTTCCAAGGCTGGTAGATTTCCAGGAGCAGGGTTTAGTACCTCTACTCTAACAGGATCTACATGTTCAGGTGATTTGCTGTAGGGAATAGATACTCACTTGCTGCTGTTGACACTGACTTGCTGCAGAGAGCTCCAGCACACTCCATACACTTATTTCTTCCAGGCACAGTGGGACCACATGATGCACTGTTTCTTATCCGTATTGACCTGAGATCTTACTTCTCCACAAGAAGAGCTTAATGTGGACTAGAGTGAGACAACTTGGAACCTTTTACACAGCATCAAAACTCTTTGCTGTCACACAGGGACAATAAAGAAATATTTCAGCATTTTTCAACCTAATCTCAGTCTACCTCATCTGAGTCATGCTGTCTATTACCATGAATGAATTTTCAATGCATTTGCCAGCATTTAAATAGACCTGAAAACTCGTTGACACAAAACTCATTTATAACAGAAGCCACAGGGCAGAGACTGAATTCCATGAATAAACGTTTGAAATACGTGACTTTTTTTAACACAAATTCAGAATTGCAGCCATTACACTCTGACAGT